ATGATGGAAATTTCATATGACTGATGATTGTTCAATTGGCTATATTGCTTAAATGTTTGCTTAAATGTTTAAGACACATTTTAGGGAAAGAATTGATCTTTCTGTATAATTAATAGGTTGGTTATGTTAAAGGCTTTTATTGTTTATATGTTTAATTATTGATTTTTTGTTTGTGTTGCTTTCAGGGGAAATAATGACAGAGATAGAAGGCGAAGATGGACTTGAGGGAAATGACAAAACAGATAAGAAGGAAAATGGAGGAGCAACAAAAGAGAAAGAAAGTGAGGAAGGAGGTGAAGAGGAGAAAGGGTTTGGAAATGGAAAACAAGCAAAAGAAGCAAGCCGTGAAGAAGATAAGGAGGATGAAGTGAGGCACTTACCTTAAACTGAATCTTTTTGACACTTAGTGTAACTTTTTTACTTTTTCATGTGTTTGTGTGCACACAAGTGTATGTGTGTATTTGTATGTGTCTGTGTATGTATCAGAGTGTGTATGTTGCATGTGCATGTAGGTGTTTGTTCATTGTAGCAGAATGTAAAAAAAGAAAAAAAAGAAAAAAAAGAATGGAGTGAAATATAGATAATAAGAAACTTGGTACTGTTCTTTTCTTTATCAGTATACTTAAGGAAAGTCATTTCAGCAACTAGAACTTGGATTTGTCAGAGGTTTTGAAATGTGTTTTGTTTTATTTTGTGACAGTCGCCTGTGAAGGAGGAAGAAGCGGAGGACATGGGTAATGCAACCAGTGTGAAGGAGTGGGAAGAAGTGGGCGAAGAATTTACCGAGTAAGTTTGTATGCGTGATAGTAATGGCTGTGGAGCAGTGGCCAAGCTGGTTGGATGGATGGCTGGTGATCTGCCCTTGTGATCGGAGCAGTGCCAGTGTTGCTGCTGTGGGGTGCTGGCTGAGTCACTGCTGGCTGACGGTTGCAAATCTTCCTGTCCGACCCAAGAGAGATCCAGTGACATCCTTGCTACACTCGGATCTAAAGTTCCCTTGATACCCAGTCACTTGCATTAGTCCTACAGTAATATAGGTGTGCTATGAAGTGCTTCTGCGAAAGTGCTTGTGCACTTATTTCCTGTGACAAAACTCCCTTTTGTTAAGTCAAGCTGGGGTTACATTTTTGTTGTTTTTCTATGTGACAAATTCCTGCCCTGGCAGTGCTAGAATAAGTCACATCTGCACTGTTGTATCAGTTGTAAATCAGTTTTATGTATATGTCATCTTTAGCAGTACTGTTTCAAGTGGTGGAATGGCTGTTGCAGTAATTTGTTGCATCATACTATGCAGCTATTACAGAGCTCTGCAACACTGCCACATCAAGCTGGTTAAAATTTGTGCTTCTTGAGCAGTTTTATACAAAGCTTTCTTAACAAGATATTTCTTGTTTCTGTAAATGGCAGTGTTACACTGAGCAATGTTCACCTTCCTAACAGTGTAATTTTAAGCAGTGAGTGCTAAGCCACCTTTCCTCAAGCATTGTTACTTCAAGCATACTATAGCTTTGCTCATGCATAAAGTTCAGGAGTACATGTAAGAAGAGTTAGTGATGATAGTACGCTATTGCAGCGATGTAAGTGGACACAGTCCGAGGTTCCAGTGCCAAGTCCTCTGCGGGAGGAGTGGCACCCATTCGTGTGGTTTTATTGATGTTGATTTTTCATTGAAAGTCATATTGCCATTAAGTTTGGTCTTTTTTGTTTGGAATTCGTTTTCTTTTTTTTTTTTTTTTTCTTTTTTTCTTTTTTTTTTTAGTTGCCTTGTTTTCAGTACTGTGTGGTAGGACAATAGTACAAGATCATTTGTTCTGTAATGAAAAAAACTTGACAGAAAAGTAGATAAAATCTACTGTGTATTTTGTGGATACGTTTGTAATGGAAGTGGCTTGGCAATACATAGTCAGTGTTCCTTGCAATTTTGCAAGATGTCTTTCTTTCATATATTTCATCTTGGAATTAGAAGTTTACTCAGAAAATATTCCAGTATTTTTTAATAAAGAAAACAGAAAATTATTCTTGTTTTACTCGTATCCATTGTTATGTCCATCTGAAATATGTTTGTATAATTTATTTTCAATTCCTTTATGGTAGTAGGTATATTTAAAAGTAGATATCTTTTATTGACAGTTGGAAGTTTTAATTTTGATTTATAACTTCAGCATTAGTGTTTATTTGGAATTTTATAAAAACGGTATTTGATAACAATTTAGACAAATAATTGAATTGCTTATTACCTGATGAAAAGTAAAAGACTGCTAATTACAAGGTATTCAAAAAGTTAAACAGGATTGAAAGTAAAATATTTTTAAATAAAAACTACAAATGAAATGACTTAAGGTAGAAACTTTGAACAGTTTCATATATATATATTTTTTTTATATAAGTTCTACATTACTGAGAGTTATTTCATGTATTAAGGTTACTCCAAAGAAGTATAAAGATTTTAGATATTTAACAATTGAAGTATGAACGCCTTATTTTGATTATGATGCAAGGA